AGTTTATTATATAATTCCTAAATAAAAATATTTTAATATTCCTTACACACACACCATCGTCACCTTGTAAATGATGCATATTTCCAATTATAGGATATCCCTGAGGTCCTGGAATAAGACTTAAAAGTCTTCCGACTCTTCTATATCTTATAACACAATGTAATGCAAATAGAAATAAAATTGAACCTAACAAGATAGCGAGCATGATTAAATCTGGAAAATAAACAAAATTAGAAAAATTATATATAAATGCAGCAAGAATGAGATGTTACCAACTAGTTGTGGTTGTCAAGGATAAAAGTTTTTCAAAAAATTTTGTAATAGATCTACATAAAAAGTAGAATTTTTATCATTTTTGAAAATACAAGAATTATTTGTTTTATTAATCGTTTTTCTTTTAATTAATTGTAAGAACACACGTATACGTGAGCGATATACAATAATTAATTGGAAAGAAAATATCTTTTCTTACTCTTACAGAATTAGTATTTATTCTGATTTATATAAAAGATATAATCTCTCGTKCACTTAGAATAAACTCGTTTAATCTTTTGATTGCTGCAATGTTAAATGAACAACATCCGTTGAAAAAATTATAATATAAAAAAATCCGAGATTTTACTACCACATGTACGAATATGAAGATAATTTTCTGCTGATATATATTTATTTGCTAAATGCATAAGAAAAAGCGTAAAAATCTCAACTTTTCTTAACCTATGATTTTTCCATCATTAAGTTTTATATAATTTTATRTACATTAAAAGCTTAAGATTTAATAAAAYATGATTAATWTGAATAACGAAGAAAGATAATTAAATTTGGGAATTCTCTCACTGAGAAGTTTTTCTTATGCTACTAACGATAATCCGCACGAAATAAAACCCGACCGAATTATTCAAGCCCGAATAAATAATTTATATGAAAAATCAAGAAATATACATGTCACGGTATTAAATTCTTGAGTATACATTTTTGATTCACTCAATATAGATAGCAGGTATTTATATTCTCTCTAACTGCGATTGCGGTAAAATATCATATTTGCGATTTCGACAATGCATATTTCAGAAAAATGTATTTTCTGTAATTAATAAGGTAGTAAATATTAAAAATCACAATTAGCATAAAATCACAAATATGTACACCCAATAAATTGCAATAATTTATTACAGTAATATTTAGAATATTATTGTAATATTATTTAAAGCTAATTTAATGCTTCAAATAAAAATATATCACGTTATATTTTATATAAAGTTGTAATCRTCAGAAAAGGTATATACATTGATTCTTACACAGAAATGATACCGACTAACCGTTTTAAACAAATCTTTGCAATAACAATTAATTATACTTCATTTACACTTATTTCCTTCTGATATGAATTATTTATCTCATAATTGTAATCATGAGGTCAATAGTTCGCGTGTTTGGTATTACGCATATTATAAATAGCAACCATATAATATTTTTGCAGAGTGTAGTACCGAWACTACGAGCAACCAGTGGAAAATTTTTTCATAGCAGAAAACATGATACKGAAATAMCTTGGAATATTATTTTCACGAATAAGTTTATTTTCTATAGTTTTCTTTTAATCAATATGGGAATCGCAAATACAAAGTGTTTATTTTTTATTACATTTGGCCGTAAGTAATACAATTACATTATATTATTATGTATTTCGAAAGATTTCTATAAACTCTAAATTTATATATACCCATGTTCTATTTAAAATGGTAGGAATAGGTTTATGATGTCATTTAATGATGTGAGATTTTTAAAATAATAGTTCGAATCAGCTTTTCTAGAATATTAGAAAAAAATTACATATGTAATACCGAAATTTATTAGAAAACGTTTTGATTAAAATACAAAAATCCTAATCAATATTTTTCATTAAAATCAATTTACAAATAAAAGTATAAGTTCTAAAAAATATATAAACATGGATTTAAATAGCCAATAATTTATATCTTTTCCTCGATATTTAATTAGGTTATGACGCCGAAAATATTTAATGACAAATAAGCTCATAGATTAATTTCTTTTCTCCTTTCTATTTATTCGATCATTTTATTTCATGTATTTTCGATATTTGTTTCAGTCCTTTGAGTTTAATATGTATAAGAATAACTATGTAATTGGTATAAATTTMACTCGAAGTGCTTTAGACGAGGTCAAAGTGAGATCTGCCGAAAACGTAACGTCATCTAGCTCATCAACCGGTTCCAGCTCAAAATTGTACAATATAAAAGCTACGAAGACTTTAAGCTCGAGCATTGCCAACTTCTGACCTGCAGCATGAAAAATACAAGAATGAAAACAAAAAATTGTATAGTTTCTGTGCTGATTTCAACAAGAGACATATACCAATACAGTTTCTCGGTCCTGCACTAAATGGTATGTAGACATAGGGATGACGTCCTTTAATATTTTCCGGCAAAAATCTGTCCGGATCAAAAACATTTGGATTTGGCCAATATTCTGAACGTCTGTGCACGCTGTAAACGTTAACTCCCAACATCGTACCAGATGGAATTAAATAATGTTCTGCAAAATAAATGCAATTACATAGAAAATAAAATAAACAATCAATAGTATAACTGTGATATGAAAGTATAGGTTTATATAAATATATATTTCATACTTAGCTGCAAATCATGAGAAATTTGCCGAGAAATTACATGAGCGGTTGGATACAAACGAAGCGTTTCTTTTAAACATCTCTCCAAATACGAAAGTTTTTGAAACGACGAGGTCGTCAAATTATTATCATCACTCATAATCGATTTTATCTCGTCTCTTATATTTTCCTAAAAATAAGTACGTCATTTATTATTCATTGTATGACATGTGTAAATCGCTAAACCTAAAAACATTGCAAATTTTAATAAATTTTGATCGAATTCGAGTACCGATAAAACTTTTTATTTAAAGTTAATATCATTCTTCATTAGTATTAAAAACAAACTACTAAAATTAGCGAAACAATTCAACGATTAATTTTTTAATAATGTATTAAAAGTAAAATATTGTTTCATTTGCTAATCACATTTAAACTGATAATTCTGTCTAGTATAATTACCTGAACATCTTTGTTCTTAGCAAAAAGACTCAAAGCAAAAGTCAGTGYAYTTGCAGTASYGTCGTGACCCTAGAAAATTTTATTTCATCAAATATTTTTCTACTTTTGTTTTCTAAATTTATACATTTACAAGAACATACTCCAAACGTGAAAGTATCAACTTCTTCACGAATTCCTTCCTCATCTATTTGATTATTATTCCAAGATGCGGCTATGAGCAGATCTAACAAAGAAAGTCTTCTCTTGTACGGCATATCTGTAACATAAAAACTCTATTGACCTTGATTCTTCAAATAACTTTATTTTTTTTTAAAAATTTGAATACACTCATCGTCCTTCTCCGGATTCTTATTAGAAACGTCATCCTTCTCAATATTCTCATTGATTAGCAAATATTTCCCATTAGTTTCTTTGTGAAAACGTTTCCTTTCCGCAATAATCTGAAATAAATGTAACACTTTCCTTATCTAGAAATTTTTAAAAAACGTAGATATAAATGATTATTACGAAAGACGTACATTTCTCGAAAAACTGTGCAACGTTTTTAACGCTTCTTTTTGTAGTCTACCATGTGATGTAAGYCTAAATATAATATCGTAATAGCACCAAGGTCTCGTAAATCTAATAAACAATGAATCACACTCTTTATTCGATTGACTTTCTCTCTAAACAAAAGATTAATGATTTACCTATATGCAGCAGTTCTGCCATAAACATGAACAGCATTACGATATTTAGTTCCCTGCTCGCTCTTTCCTGTCAATTGGGTACCCAAAGCTGTTTCTATAAAGAAGACTCAAAAATAAAATTTATTGGTAATATTATTAATTACATATACAGAAAATGTTTTTTTTTCACTAACGGCATATTGCGTTGAGAGTGTACTTGCTGATAAATGTCCGTAAATCTTTAACAATAGGATTTCCATCTGCTTCCTTTTTAATAGATTCGACGAGATTTTGTGATTCCTCAATTAAATTAATAAAGTAATGTTTAAGGATATTGAAGTGAAATGCAGGAGTTAACAYTTTCCGTCGTATATGCCATTTTTCACCTGTCAAATTAAGTTATATTTAAAATATTATTAAATTTATTGAAATGTTTCAGGACGCATTGTGTTTTATTTTTTTTTTATTGTAAGGATTTATAAGATAGTATTAGCCCGTGGAGTTTATATGTTTATTTATATGATATGAAAGCATTAGGTAATATCTCAAGTTTTCCGATTGTCATGACACTTGTTAGAAAGCAAATAAGCGCTCCAGGATAGTTGTTCCTTTGTTTACTTCGAGAATAAGGTACAGTTAAAACTTTTTCGAAATACGAACGAATAAAGACGTATTTATACTACGCCTTATTTAATTTTATTATTAACGAATTCATAATTTTAGATATATAGTAAAAATATTATATTATTTGTACTCTTATAAATTACTTACCGCTGCTAGTTAGTAATCCAGAAGAAAGCCAGGGCATAAGATATTTGTAAAAGACTCCTTTTTCAATATGTTCAGTGCTCTTTAATAGTACCTTAGATGGAAATAAAAAATTTTTAACTTATATGCATTTCTGTTTTCGATATACGTTTAATTCTGGACAGCAGGACCTTTTATTCTTATATATATCAACATTTTTTTCTATCCTTTTCTAAGAATTTTTAATACATGAGGATTTATTAGCAATAATTAAAATAAGTTTTTTTAAAAATGTGGTTATAARAAAATACATAGATAGTCCTGCCATGCTTTGTTTAAAGTTATTTTAAATTATCGTTCTGGTTTAAAAAATATTCAACTATGAATATTTTGTAATGAATAAAATGGACCACATTYATYTTTTTTWTATCCTTAATATGATAGTTAAAAGAAAAGAAAAATACATTTATTTCGTTTTTATTCTGTAATAATTTACCTGAATATCTTCGGGATCGAGTAAAACTACTGAACGAAAAAATAAAGTCCATACTTTATAGATTGGATAATACTCATTATCTATTCTCCATAGTTTTTCAAGTAAAATATCTAAATAATTGACAATAGGTTAATATTAAGTAAGAACTTTATCAAGTGAGAAAAGAGAATCACAGTTTATTATATAATTCCTAAATAAAAATATTTTAATATTTCTTACACACACACCATCGTCACCTTGTAAATGATGCATATTTCCAATTATTGGATATTCCTGTGGTCCTGGAATAAGACTTAAAAGTCTTCCGACTCTTCTATATCTTATAACACAATGTAATGCAAATAGAAATAAAATTRAACCYRACAAGATAGCGAGCATGATTAAATCTGGAAAATAGGCAAAATTAGAGGGATGAATTCTGACTATAATAAGAGCAATCTTACGTATTAGTTATTGTTGTTAAGGATAATACTTTTTTAAATACTTCAATGCTTTTGAATAATTAACCCTTTTGCTACGGAACGGATCTCCACCGCGGTACTCCTGCAGTACGGCGCGCTACACCGAAACAGTGCACGGTGCATGCAACCTATCGCCAATATCATATATATGATCAATATATGATCGCCGATCTTCGTATTCAGACGTGCTGGATATGATTTGCCAAAATCTTTTACAATTTTGGGTGCGTATTTCCCGTATCAATATCCCTTTTAATATGTTTTCGGAAGAAAACTTAAATTTATTATATTTCTGCAGTAAGCCCTAACGTAATTCGCACAGACCGTTCAAGCCGGTGTCGTACGACTGATGATCGAGGCATTTGGTTTATTATTGAAGTCCGTAAAAAACAAAGGATACAAAACGAAAGACTTGCGCGGCATGTCCAGAGGGAGATACTCTGTGCATAGCAACCATAAGCGCCTATCATAAATACAATTACGCGACATCTTTAGCGGGAGCGACTATATTCGCTCGTATTATCTCAGCGGCATCACATGGAGAGCGACTATAGTCGCCCGTAGTAGCGAAAGGGTTAATATGAACACTGTAGTCTATGAAATGTTTAATAATGTACAAATGAAATTCTTTAATTATTCGCGTTCCTTTTTTATTAATTGTAGACAAACACTCACACGTGAGCTATATATAATTGTACAATAGAAAGAAAATAATTTAACTGTATGGGGTTACATGGGTTTACACCGGGAAAAAATAGCATATTTTCAACAATTTTTTTTTCTATATAAGAAATGGAATTCTTATTCAAACTTTTTATAGTATTTAAGATACATATTTAAAGAAGATTTTCTGAATTTT